AAAAAGTGATTACAGAGGTTAACATTTTCATGAGGTAGCTGTGTGAACGCAGGTCTCGATCCAAAACCCGAATTTCTGTTCATTTCTGCATGTCCAAAGCCTACCCATTTTTCAAAATTCAGCCTTAATTATCAGCTCCTCTATAAAAGTTGTCTTATTACTAATTAAATTTTTTTATTTTAAATTTATCTTTATTATTGAAAGTATTACAGATGTACCCTTTAAACATTATGTTCATTGATTTCAGAGAGGAAGGGAGAGGTAGAGAGAGAGAAACATCCGTGATGAGAGAGAATCACTGATCGGCTGCCTCCGCACGCCCCACACTGGGGATTGAGCCCGAAACCTGGGCCTGTGCCTTTGGCCGGAATTGAACCGTGACCTCCTGGTTCATAGGTTGATGCTCGCCCGCTGAGCCACGCTGGTTGGACATCCCCATTTCTTTCAAGTGGAGCTGAAACTCATGGGACATACGAGCCACTCTCATGCCCAACGCAGTGGCATTTAGCACGTTCACAGGAGCGCCCGCCGCCTCTGTCCAGTTCCAAAGCACTTCGTCCCCCAAAGTGGAGCCCGCCTCCAGTCGGCAGCCACCCGCTCCCCCTCCGCCCGCGCCTGGCCCCCCACGTGCTCCCCGTCTCTCTGGACGCTCCTATGAAGGGAGTGGGTCCCCACGGGCCGGGCGCACAGGTAGGCCCGAGACGGACGGTCATCAGACGATGGCCGCAGCCTGGCGCCAGAGCTGGTCCAGGAGCTGGAGGGGCTGCTCGCCCTCAGGAAGAACTGCTCTCCTCACATGCTCGCCCGCCCGAACGCACAGGCACAGAGGACAGCAACCACCTGGGACCTGCGCCCAGAGGCAGCGCCGATCCCGCCCGGCCGCCATGGAGCGCAGGGTTAATGAAGGCGGCTCCGCGCTGTCCGCGCTGCGGTCACCTGCATTGGACGTCCCCACGGCTGTAGCACAGGAGGCACCTGGTGACAGCCTGGGCCGATCACCTCGAGTAACTGCGCTCCCCTTAGTGCAGACCTTGACCGCCTTCCTCGTGTTCTGTCCCTCCCTTCCCCCCTTCGCACTCTTGTTTGGGATTTGCACCCCTGCGTTCCTCTGGGCCTGCCCCTCTCATTAGCCACACGCCCCCTTTCCAGGTGGGACATACCCATGGTGTCCCCACGCTGCCCTGGGGTGGAGGGTTGTTGGAAGGAGAGGCGCTCAGCCTGCAGGCTGCTCTCCAGCAGAACCCACAGCCTGCCCCCGCCCCCCGCCCCCCACCCTGCAGGGCTCTCTCCCCTCCTCCAGCTCCGCAGCCAGGCCTGTGACCATGATTCTGACACTGTCAGCGCATAATCTGGGCCCAGAAATAGAAGCAAATGGTGCCATCACTCAAGGCTCCGTGAATGGCGCTCACATGGCCAGTCGAGTCCCCTGGCCTACATTCCCTCCTGGTTCTGAGGGGGGCCGGTGGCCCCATGGGAAAGGTCTGCCTGGAGGGAGCTCAGGGCCCAGGGTCAGGAAAGTGGCTGCTACCCACTGCTTTCTAGGTGCTATGTGACCCGGGCAGGTCACTCAACCTCTCTGGGCCTCCCCCGCAGTCAACGAGGGCGGAGCAAAGATGAGGTTCCTTGCTGGTGAGGGGGCAGGTTTGGGGGCTGGCTGGGGCTGGGAGGCGGGGGTCCTGGCTCTTCTGGCCTGAGGACTGACCCTGCTTCTCCCCCCTCCCCCACTGGCTTCTGGAGGGGGCGGGGACCAGCCGGTGGTGCTGTGGGGCAGGGTCAACTGGTCTGCAAGAGGTCTGCTGCATTTGCAGGAGCGTCCTCGGAAATAATGAGGGACGTGCACCTGCCTCAGGGTCCAGGATGTCCACTGTGGCGGCTCGCACAGCCGCCCCGTGCCCTTGAGTGGCAGGCGATGGGACAGCGGCGCGCTGGGGGCCCGTGGGAAGGATGCAGCGGGTGGATATTTATAGCCGCGGAGGAGGCCTGGGGCTGGTCAGCGGGAAAGGCCAGTCACCCAGCAGCACTGACAGGAGGGGCCGTTTTTGCAAAAAGATGCCATGCGCTCACCTGCGGGGAAAGAGGCCCGGAAGGCGCCCCCTAAATGTGAGCCGTGCTCTGGCTGGGAGCGAAGACGGGCGATTTGTATGGTCTTTCCGTCGTTCTGCATTGAAAGTGTTTTCTCACCAGGACTGCACGGCACTGGTGCACATTTTAAAAAGTGATCTCACAAAAGACAAACGTTGCAAGACTCTGCTTATAAGAGGTGCCTGGAATAAGGGGCTTCCTAGCAACAGAAAGTAGGTCAGAGGTTGCCAGGGCTGGGGGAGGGCGGGAGGGGTGTCGGTGGGCACAGGGTCGGTGGGGAAGATGGGAAAGGCCTGGGGTGATGGTGGTGAGTGTACCTAACGCCACTGAGCTGACCCGTGGTCCCGGAGCTGGTTCGAGGTGACGCGCGTGGCAGCGCACATACAAGACGTTCTCTTAAACCCGGGCCCGGGAAGCCCAGCGGGGAGGCCTGCAGGGAGCGGGAGGTGGCGAGGGAGGGGGTCCTGAGCGTCTGTCTTGTCCCCCCGCCTGAGAGTCTGAGGGACCCCATCCCTGCGCAGCTTCCGGTTTTCTCACCCGGAGGAGCTGGCTCTGCCTCTGCAGATGTCGGGGTGCAGGGGGGTGGAAATCACGCCCACAGAAGGTGGGGGGCACGTTCGTTCCTCAGCCGAGTGCCAGGCTGCTGGGCGTGGCTTTAGAGCGGGACGCTGCAGCCCTGGGGCCTGCCCATGGCGCCCTCCCCTCTTCCCCTCCGTGTCCGCTGCTGGGGACCCTGACCTGGCCCGGGAGGTGGGGGGCACCCCAGGGCTGCCCCGAGATGGTAGAAGTGGGCTGGGGCTGGCAGGAAGCATGCTCTGCTCTGCAGAGCCGCGGCTCATCCTCACCAGCATGCTCCTGGTCAGCCTAAATCCCATCGTCAGGACGGTCTGTACGGCCTGTGGAGGGCGTCACCTAGGCTGTCCTGGGGGCAGGTGGGCGGTGGGTGGCGGAGGTTCTGCTAAGGGGAAGGGGGACAGAGCAGAACCAGAGGCCCGTGGGCCAACCTGCCGTGGCGGCGATTCCCGCCGAGGGGCCAAGGGCCACGCTCGCTCTCTCACCACCTACTTGGGTCACTCTGTGCATCTTCTGGCCACGACAATGTATCACGAAAAGGGGCCCCACATCGCTGCTCACGAAGGAAGTGCAAATCAAAACCCCAGCGCCACGTTCACGCGCATCAGGATGGCGATTACAAACAGCGAGAGGCCCCAGCACACGAAACCCACCCGCCTCAGCTGGCCGCCCGCCCTGCCCTCTGCCGCTCGCTGCTTGCTGCTCCCTGCTCACGCCCTGCCCTCCGCCGCGAGAGCCGCTGCTCGTTTGGTGGTGATGGCGTTACTGCGTCATGACCACGGGCCTTTTGTTAATGTAGACGGGATAACGGGTGCAGTGCGGGCGGGGTGCACCAGGGGCAGCTGCCATGGGAACCGTGTGGCGGCTCCTCCACAGGCTAAGTTTCTGGGTCTGCACCCTGAGGAAGGGAGGCAGGCTCTCCGAGAGACCCCGTGCCCTCAGCAGCCGGGTTCACAGTGGCCAAAAGGCGGAGCAACCCAGAGGCCACGGACAGAGGGCGGGTAAACACAACTGAGGTCCCGCCACACCACGCAGCATCGCTCGCCTCCGAAGGCAGGAAGCACGGACGCAGAGAACCGTGGGCCTGAGGACGCTGTGCTGAGTAAGAAGCCGGGAGCAGAAGGACAGAGAACTACGGGATTCCTCGTCTGCGAGGCCCCAGAGCAGTCAATTCCTAGAGACGGAAAGGAGACGGTGGGCGCCAGGGCCTGGTTTCCTGTAGGCCCTTGGGGAGCCGGGATGGGGAACTGGGAGGGGCCTGGGTCACGGGTCCCCTGGCTCCCTTTGGGATCATCAAGCCAGGTGCTGCAGGGGACGGACAGAGGAGGGATCTCACAGGTCGAGAGCTTGGAGGGGACCCCGGACTTCCTTTGGTGATGGTGGTGTGAGGAGGTGACAATCACTGCCACGCTAGCATTCCTGTGTGCTAAGCACTGTGTGTAATTCTTCAGTGAAGGGTCCCAGCAACCCATTTAACAGATGAGGAAAATGAGGCTCAGAGGGGCTAAGTCACTGCCTGCGTTTGGGCAGCACGCCCTGAGGGAAGTACCGCAGGGGTGGTGCGGAGAACTCCCCCAAGCCCCGCTGGGACTCTGCCCAGGCCCTAAGGCGCCTCAGCCCCCCTCCTGCCCCGGGTCCGAGGGGAGCCCAGGTCCCAGCTGTACAGGGATAGGCCTCCGCTCCCAGCCCAGGGGCCCCCCATTAATCTACTGGGGGCCCTGGCGTTGGAGTGGGAGCAGGGCTGGGCAGGGCTCCCTCACTCCTCTGGGCCCTGCAGCAGTGTAACAGTGGATCGGCCTCTACTGGGCACATCTGCGGGCCACCCACTGTGCCTAGTGCTCTATCCCGGACTCCCCCCCACAGCCCTGAGCCCCACGGAGGTCAGGGAGCCGAGGCTCTGAGATGGGAACTGACCTGACCAAGGTCACAGAGCGAGTCAGGCTCTGCCGGGGGCCTGGACCCCAAGGCACCGCCCCCCCCAAAGACAGCAGAACCCTGCAGACCGACGGCGAGGGGATGGTGAGGGGATAGCGAGGGGGGTGGTGAGGGGATGGTAAGGGGTTGCTGTCTGGAGGACTTGGGTTGGAGTCCCCAACCTGCCACGTACTCCCGTGTGGAGTGGGCCAGTCCCTCGGCCTCTGAGCCTCAGGGAACACATCTGTCAGGTGGTCTCTTCCCATTTACCTTAAAGGCCATTACACAGATTTTAAATCATGAGCTATGGGACGCCCATGGCATGGGATGGGTACATATGAAGCTCAAGAAACGAAGTTTAAAGAACTGAAACGACTGTCCTTCTTCCAGAAGGGAGGGTCTGGAGTCTTGTTCTTCCAAACCAACACCTTTGTGCCCCCGGCGGCCGGTTGCCGGAATGGGCCAGAATCCTCCTAACTAGACAGATTTGCTCCCAGTTCTCACCCTGGCCCGTGGCGAACCAACTGCATCTCCCTGTGCCTCCGTTTCCCCCTCTTTAAATGGAAAATGCTAATGGCTTCTCCCTCACGGGGTTGTGGGAGGCTCAGTGATGGCGTGGTTTACGGAGAAGTGGACAGAGAGCAGACACTAAACACATTACGGATTTTACCACAACCATCCGGGGCGGGACCGTGCAGGCGGGTCCAGGGAGCGGGCTCGAGCACGCTCTCCACTCCCGTCCTCTGGCACCAGGCCCCTGGCCCCCTGCTCCGTGTGAGGCAGCGGTGGGCCCTGGGGAGGCCACGGACGAGGAGAGCAGGGTTCTGCCCCAGCAGCCCCCGCGTGGCGCCTCGCCGCCTTGCCCTGCACCCTCCCTCCCAAGCCCATGGCCTGGTGCCCGGGAGGAGCACAGGCCTGGACGCAGGCGGACCCGGTGCAAATCCCCAGCTTGAAGCCTGCGCCAGGCTTTATTTATAGGGGCCTCAGTTTCCTAATCTGTGAAGTGGGAATGATCCTAGCGCCAGTCACGTGGGACTGCTTATTCGGGATAAATACCAAGCCATGTAAATAATTTAGTCATAAGAACAAGCAAACGATGATGATGCTACACCCACCGTCTCCTTCACGAAGCAACTGCCCCCGTCCCACCCACAGCGCGTCTATCCCCAGGCTCTCTGAGGCCTCGGCGAGGAGATGCACGTTTTTATCGTAACTTCCTCGGGGACCAGTTCTCAGGGGTCTGACCCACCCCCTTTTGGAACTGGGACCCCTCGTCAGTGTTTAACCTGCGTCCCTCATGGTGGCCACACTGGGAAGAGCGAGGGATGGACATGGTTCCACATGGGGGTGGAAGCAGATGTGCCCAGGAGCACTGGGACCGGGAGGGTGGCTGGCTGGAGGGGAGGGCCTGCCTCCCACCTGGGCTGCCCCCCCCACGACACCTGGCACAGAGCAGACTGAACAGAAAGACCTGGCAGCAAAGACGTTGTTAAAACCAACCAAAGACCAGCTCACAGGCCCTTCCCCTGGCTACTCACCCGGGGAAGGGGCAGGTATGGCTTTCAGGAGGCCACCAGTGTGTGGGTGCCCACCCTGAACCCCCTGCACCCCTAGTCCCAATGGGGTCACCTCAGGCAGCTGGCAGGGCCCCGTCCCAGGCAGGGGGGTAGGGGGGGCAGCTCACAAGCGCTGCCTGCAAGCAGCCCAGAAACTCAGGGACCCCCACCTGTGGGTGGGAGTTACAAGATGAGACGCTCCATCCAAGACCCCCACAGGACCCCACCAGCCCGACTACCTGCCTCGAGGCCGCAGCCTCCAGTGCCCACCCCCCAGCTGCCTCTGGGCAGTGGCTCCCAGCGGCCCCCGCCTTGCAGGGCCCTCATCTGCGCATCCCTGGCTCTCTCCCCGAGGCTGGAGCTCGCCTGTTTCTGGGGCGTCCTTCCTGCCTAACCTCATTAAACTGTTCCCCGCTGTTTCTGGGGGCCCCGCCGGCCCTGGCAGGGTGGGTGGGGCAGGCGGGCGGCGGGCACACTCACCCAGAAGCAGGTTCATGAGCACCTCCTGGCCGGCCAGCGTGCTGCTCTTCACCAGGCAGAGGATGGTGCCCCCGATCCAGGGGATGCCGTGGCCCGTGATGCCAATGAGCTTGATCATGGAGCGGGCGCTGGCCCAGGACGTGGCCCGGCCGGCGCACACCCCCAGCCGCTTGGACATGCAGATGTCGATGGCCAGCAGGGAGTTGAAGGCGATGCCCTTGAAGGAGGGGTTCAGCTGCATGCAGTCCTCCTCGGGCAGCTGCTGGGACTGGCGCCGCTCCCGGGCCCCATCGCCGGGGGGTGGGGGCTGCGCCGAGGGGCCGGAGGCCTTCCTACCCGAGCTGCGGGGCTCTGGGACCCCCTTGGGGGGCTGGTTCAGGGACAGGAACTCGGCCCGGTTGAGGATGTTGTTGCGGTCCCGGGCCCGGGCCCGGCTCTGGGAGCCCGGCATGGCGACGCTGGCACCGTGAGGGCCGGTGCCAGGCCTGCGGCGAGGGCCTTCTCCCCGAGGCAAGAGCTGCCCCCAGAGCGGCCACCTCCCTGCCTGCCTCCTCCACGGTTAAATATAGAGCGGAGGATTGCACATGGCTGTTTACCTCCGGCTGCCGCCCGGCTCCGGGGACGTCAGTGCCAGCTGGGCAGCCAATCGAGCCCACCGTGGCCGCCGGGCGCCAATGGAGCCGCCAGGGGGGCGGAGGAGTCCACAGCTGCGGCCCTGCCTCGGGCCTGGGCTATTTAAATCTCCCAATGGCTCGCTCCCAGGCTTTGGGGGACGCTGGGAAATGTAGTCCTCCGGCTGCCCTGGCCGCAGCTGTCCAGGACTCAGCCCCTTCTTTCCCAGCTTCCCTCGGAGCCGTCCAGGCCCCTGCGAGCCAGGCTGGCCTTCCCACCGGCCCGGGCAGCTTGGACTTGGTCCCACGGACTGGACAGTGGAGCCCGGGCTGGAGGCCTCTCCGGGCACCAGACGGAGTGAGTGACGTCACGACAGCATCATCCTGGGCCTCTGGGACCAGCCCAGCCCCTCCCCTCTGGCAGCAGCTCATGAGGTGGGCAGGCGGCCTTTTTTTTTTTTAAATCACTCATGAATCTGGCTTCAGTGCCGTGGAATGGCAGCCAGGACTGGTTTCCATGCGAGGGAGACGCAGCTCATGGGCTGGGAATGGACCTGCCCGGGGAGGTTGCCTGCATCGCCCTGCGTTTCGTGGTCAGGTGACCAAGGGCTTCTCACCTGTCTCAGTCCCAATACTTGATACTTACAACCATCAAGTAGGGCTGAGCTACTTTCTTCATATTCTGCTTGAAAAAGTCATATCAAGTATGACTTTAATAACCAGAAATAACACATTAAACAAATTGCATCTATGTATATCATATACACACACACACACAAATATGCATTTAAAAGATATGTTATATGCCCTTAAAAAAATAACCTCCCATTTCCACGTAACAAATATAAACCTGGCCATGTTTCCATGACAACCGATGATTTTTCAATGGCTGTTTGTCATGAGGATGGGCCGTGGTTTCTGTAAGCAACCCTCTGTCATTGGACATGTAGGTTGTTTCCATTCTGTGACTATTCAACGCTATTCCGGCGCAGCCACCCTCATGCATACGTCCCTGTGCACTGAAGCAGAATATAAAGAAAGTAGCTCAGCCCTAGCTGGTGTGGCTCAGTGGATAGAGCGTTGGTCTGCGGACTGAAGGGTCCGAGTTCAATTCCCAGTCAGGGCACATGCCTGGGGTTGCAGGCTCGATTCCCAGTAGCGGGCGTGCAGGAGGCAGCCAATCAATGCTTCTTTCTCATCACTGATGTTTCTACCTCTCTTTCCCGATCCCTTCCTCTCTGAAATCAATAAAAATATATTTAAAAACAAAACAGCGTGCTCAGATGCGTCCCGCTGAGACCTGACGCCGCACCACCCAGATTTGGGAGAAGATGGCCGGGCTGTGGATACTTCCAGATGTCAGACCAGGTCCAGCCACACGGGTCCCCTGTCAGAGATGGTGAAGAGCCCACGAGGTGAGGACATCACCTGTGAGGCCACACAGCTGGTGAAGGTCAGAGCGGGCACCTGGGCTGGCTGGTCCCCACCTGCTTGTCGCTCACTCACTCGTCCCCCATGCAAGGACCAGCAGGACGTGCAAAGGTGACTGAGGTGGCCCCATGCCTGCAGCCCACCTGTGTCCCCATCGTTGTACCACCTGCCGGGGCCCACACGGCCCCCCTGTTCTAGCACAGTCCATCGCGAGAGAGGGGCGCAGTGCGGAGTGGAGTGACCTGCCAGGTAAGAGGAGACCAGGAGTCGGGCTCCGGTCTCAGCCTGGAGCCCTTGTCCCTGGCCACGTGGGTACACGGCCTCTTCCTTGAGAGCAGGAGAGGTTTCCCGGTGGCTTCTGGGACCGAGAGCAGCTTGTACATTGCCGACACGTGTTCCGTGTTGTCTTTAGTGTGTGAGACAGGTTTACTGCTACTCCTCGCACCTGGATCACCGCCTGTCCGTCGCGCGGGCTCTGTGCCAGACCCAGAGCGGCTGCGTGTCCCTGAGCCATCGCCAACCGCACAGGGGGCGTGATGCCCCATTGCACGGGCGCGGACATAGGAACTCAGAGCCAGGGGGTTCCCTCCGGGCAGTCAGGTGAGCTGTTCCTCGGCCTGCATCCTCTCTCACATGCTCTACACTCACTCACTCTGTGTTCATGGCCTGTGTCTTCCCAGCAGAGTGCCAGCCAAAGGGCAGGGACCGCTGTCTACTTGTTCACTTGTGCGTCCAGGCTCAGGGGCCCTGGCACCCAGTAGGTGCCCAATAAACATACATGTATTGAACGAATGGCTGTCTGATTCTGGAGTCAAGGTCTTGGACCAGGCGTGGGCAAACTTTTTGACTCGAGGGCCACAATGGGTTCTTAAACTGGACCGGAGGGCTGGAACAAAAGCATGGATGGAGTGTGTGTGTGAACTAATATAAATGCAAAGTAAACATCATTACATAAAAGGGTACGGTCTTTTTTTTTTTTTTTAGTTTTATTCATTTCAAACGGGCTGGATCCAGCCCGCGGGCCGTAGTTTGCCCACGGCTGTCTTGGACAAACCTTGCCATCAGACTCATGGCCACCAGGAGGCCAGCCATTTGGGGCAACATCCCAGAAGGGAAGGGGAGGGGAGGGGAGCGGGTGAGACGCTCCCCTCTGGGCAGAGGCCTGGGGTCAGCACAGCTGGCAGGAGGGAGGGAGGACCGCGCAGGGCCCCCTGCCAGCGTGCGGAGGGAGCCCCGTGAAAAGCATTTTCATCACCGCCTCCCACCCCAGGTGCTCCCGCCCCGGGGCTCGCTGAGCTGCATTTCCACGGCTGCTCCGGAGTTATTTTGGTCGGGAAACCTGATCCTTCGCGGGTTTATTTTAGCACCTTGGAGAACTCCCAGTGCCGCACCCGCGCCCGCACCCGCACCGAGGCCAGGCCGGCACCCACCTGCCCACTCCCCTTCGCCCTTCCTGGTGGCGGGGGGCGTGGGGGT